TGTGAGGCACTAGGTTCGTTCCTCAGCACCACATAAAAACAAATAAACAAAATAAAGGTATTGTGTCCACCTACAACTAAATACATATATGAAGAAGAAGAAACCCCTGCTGGGGAGTGGGATTGTAGTTCAGTGGTTGAGCACTTGCCTCACATGCATGAGGCACTGGATTCCATCCTTACACCACATTAAAAAATAAATAAAACAAAGATATTGTGTCCATCTACAACTAAAAWTTTTTTTWAAAAAAGAAAGAAACCCCTGCTGGTGGTGGAGTGTTCAAAGGCAGGAGGTTTGTGAACCAACAGGGCCCCAGCAGGAAGATGCTCACACTCTTGGGGGATATTCCAAAGAGTTAAACAAAGGAGCCATTTGCAAAGATGTGGGCAGGGACCAGGGAAACCGCCAAGGCTGATACAGCATCCAGTACTGGTGCCAGAGGGGAGTTTGTATCACCTGTAGGCAGGAGGCACAAAAGGAGGGAAGGAGAACCCAGAAGAGCAAATTTTGGGGCGAGGGCTGCCCTGAGGGGAGCTGTGGCCCTAGCAACTGCATGGAGGGAGCTGGGGAAATCAACCTCCTGATCTTACTCACCTCCCCATCTCCTGGGGGACACCCTTTGTCTAAATCCTGACACTGCCCTTACCATCTGCTTCCCCAAATGTTGACGTTTAACATCAGAGAAGAGCTGAAGCAAGTGTAGAAAGCAAGAAATTTTATTCAAAGAATAGTAACACAGACTTCTCCCGGTAGGAAGAAGGGGACCAGAGTTGGAATCGATGGGAGAACGAAGTGCTGTCCCTTTTATATATCTTAAGTTTTCTTTGTTCTCCTGTGCTCTTCTCCCCTATCTTGTTCCTTTCCCGGATCCTGCATCCTGGGAGATGCAGGTGGGCTGGAAGGGCCAAGGTGGAGTGCCATGTAGGAAGGGAGCAGCAGCCCAGGGGACATTACTTAGCAGTTCCCTATCTGCTCAGAAGTTGCTTCATTAACAATCTTCTTCTGGTTCGGCTCAGGGGCACACACTTGTAATCCCAGTGGCTAGAGGGAGGCTGAGAAAGAGGATGGCAAGTTCAAAGCCAGCCTCAGCAAAGGCAAAGCGCTAAGCAATTCAGTGAGACCCTGTCTCTAAATAAAACACAAAATAGGGTTAGGGATRTGGTTCAGTGGTTGAGTACCCCTGAGTTCAATGTCCATACCCCCTTGAAAAAACAAAGGGGCAATATAGGCAAGTAATCTTGGTAATCAAAGGGCTCTGGAGGCATTAACATTCCAATCTCCCAGGGAGCGGGTCTCTCCCAAACTGGCCTTCATTTTCTCCATCTGACCTGATCACCCAGCTACACTAACTGCCTGTCTTTAATTCTTGCTTCAATCCTACTGGAAGCCAGAGAGCATGGGACAGGGGGCAACAGGGTCAGTACCCCAGGGCATGGAGCAGGGCTGAGCAGGTTAGAGAAGGGCATGGGAAAAATGATGCCTGGAATCATTTTCTTCCCAAATCCATTTTCAGAAGTAACACAGGAACCAGTTGCCCCAGGAGACTTGGTGGTGGGCATAGAGAACTGAGCACCTGAGAAGAAACAAAGCAGCCAGGAGCTGCGGTGACACCCGCAATCCCACTGACTCAGGAGCCTTAGGCAAAAAGTTTGCAAGTTCTAGGCTAGCCTAGGTAATTTAGTGAGACCCTTCCTCAAAATTTTAAAAAGTAAGGAGCAAAGGATGTAGCTCAGTGGTAAAGCCCACTAGGTTCAATCCACAGTACTGAAAACAGAAAGTAGCTCTTCCCCATCTGCTAGCCACCCTTTGTTGCAACTCACCAGTGTCGCACATCTACCCTTGGCCTCCCCAGTAACTGAAAGGCCAGGAAAACTCCAGCTCCTATGTACTGAGCTGTCAGACCTGCAAAAGGCACACCAGTCATGGTTGTATAAAATCCAGCAACTGTGATGTGGAGGTGCCACTTAAAACAGCATCAACCAGCTGGGCGCACGCCTGTAATCCCATCGGCTCAGGAGGCTGAGACAGGAGGATCGCGAGTTCAAAGCCAGTCTCGGCAATGGTGAGGCAGTAAGCAACTCAGTGAGACCTTATCTCTAAATAAAATACAAAAAAGGGCTGGGGATGTGGCTCAATGGTTGAATGCCCTTGAGTTCAATCCCCAGTACCCCAAAACAAAAAAACAGCATCAATGGATCCACAGCCTTCCTGGCCACTTCACCCCTCAAGGCTTCTTAACCACCCCCACTAACACATCAGCCTCTGCCAGACCCCATGCTAAACACTCTCTGAATGTGATCTACCTGTGATTGATGGGGAATCTTCAACACAAATCACGTCAGGGAGACTCCTTAGTCCCATATTCAGGATGAAGAAACTGGAAGTGAGAAAGCCCAGGTCCAGGAGATTAAATGGCAAAGCTTGATGCACAGACCCRTAGTGATGAATCAGGAAGACTGACTCTCAGGGCATGTTGTTAGCACGAATGACAGAGGGCGGGAGGCGGGAAGCCCTTTATTCAGCAGCAGCAGAGTCAATGGGTCAAACTTTCCATGTGGGGATAGAAAATGGCAGCAGGTAAAACACGGGTCTGGGTTTTATGGGCTTCATTTAGGGTGGGACAGGAGGGTAGTTCCTGGGGTTCACAATATTAGGGTCAGCTGATCCATTAGGGTAGGACAGGAGTGTGAATAGGGAATTTCCTGGGGCTTATTGTATTGGGGATCAGCTGACCCATAGGATGAGGGGTCAGATGCCTGTTCAGTCCTTTTGTGTCCCTTCCTTCCGGCTGAGGCCTGGGATTTTAAATGACAAAAGCTTCAATTTTACCCCAGACCAAGCCAGTAGGGAAGACAGCTGCAGATAGGAGAGATGTCCTTGGACTTATTCTCCATATCCTTCAGATATTCCTTCTCACACTGCCAAGTCTTGGTAGAAGGCGCCCTCTGCCTGGAACGCCCTCTCCCTTTCACCAGAAAYATCTACTTTCAGGGATCACATCCAGGAAGCCATACCTGAATCCCTACACTTGATCAGGAGTCTCCTCTGGGAACCCCAAAGTCCTCCAGGATTTTTCTGTCACAGCTTGAATGGTTCTGCCTGTTCACTCTCTTCAGTTTATTTACTTATTTTACATTTATTTTTATTTATTTGTTGAACCCAGGACCTGCTAGAAATGCTAAAATATATAAAATAATAATAATAATAATATTGATAATACTGAGCTCCACCCCAGCCTTTTTCATTTGAGACAGTCTGGTTAAATTGCCCAGACTGACCTAGAACTTAACAATCCTCCTGCCTCAGCCTCCTGAGTAGCTGGGATTACAGGTGTGAGCCACACATCTGGGTCCCCTTCACAGCCTTGAGCATCCTGAGCTGTCAATGCTTTATCTTCCTTGGACATATATGTTCATTTTCAGTGCTGAGCTAGGTTCTGTCTCTAGTTAGAACTTAGAAAATTGTTGGTAAATACATGAGAGACAATAATTACACGGGGAGTGTTCAAAATCCTCAATCCCAGTTCAGAAGTTAGATAAGAACTAATGTAGAACAGAGCCTGAACTTCTGGTAAGGTACAGGGAGCCCCTGGCTATATCAGGTGACCCCCTTTAGTTTCCAGACAGCGGGAAAGGGAAGTCACAGGAAATGATTTATATATATATTTAAAAAGGTGTTTTAATGCTTGATACACCTGAATAGAGCTTCTGACTATATCAGCTTTGGGTCTCTGAAGATCAGAGAGGTAGAGCCTCCTTCCTGCCTGAGGATGCACAGCCTAGACCTTTATTTTGTCCTTACCTATTGACTCTGCTGTCTTCCCTACACCCTCCAGAGCAGGACAATCACAGCCACCCCTTCCCCTGCTTCCTCAGACAGCTGCTGTGATTTGAATAACCAAGCACGCTGTTGGATGTCGGGGGTGATTTGCCTGACAAACAATGCTCTGGTCTTCTTCCTGCCTGTCCTGAAGCCATGTTTCTCTCCTCTCACCATCCCCCAGGGATGCCTAGGCTCTTTTCCCCTTGCTTGATCCTCTGGGAGTTTTGTCTGTCCCCAGAGGCTGCAGAGTACCCTCAGGAACCTGGTCTAAAAGAAGGGGGATGAATGACAGGCCTAGGGTCAAGATTACTAGAGCCAGCAAAGTCTGCTCCCTGGACTTGTCTCAAAATTTGCATAAAAAAGAGGTTCCTCCCCCACATCCCTCCCTTCCCACCTGGGATAGTGGTCCTGGGCTGAGGTCTGACAGCAGGTGGAGGAGGAAACTCTGCTTGTGAGCAACCGCCTCTCCATTCCTGAGGTGATGCCTCGTGTCTTCCTGGTCAGGAGTCGGCGTCCACAACCACCTAACTGGGGCCACCTGCCTGACCAGCTCCGAGGAGATGCCTATATTCCAGGTGGGCCCCTCACTGAGCCTGGGGACGAGGGGCAGGGGAAGAGGCAAGGCATCACCACCGGCTTTCTCTCTTCAGACTGCAGCAGCCTGGCCGGGCCACCGGCACATCAGTCTTCCAGCCTTGGGGACCCCTGGGCAGCGGTGAGTCTGCAGCTGACCCTCAGGCCCCAGCTGTTTTGCCCCTTCCGAAAGCTGACAGCCCCTTACTCCTGGGCCTGTTTACACATGCCCTTCAGCCTCAAGACCTGTTTTCCCTGCTGGGAATGCCATTCCTGTCCTAGAATGAGTTCAGTTAGGTCTCAATGAAGCCCCATATTCCTCCGGTAGACAGCCGCAGATGTGCTCCAGAGATCTCTACGTCCAGTGGGGCAGAGAAGGATCCCAGCAAACGAGTGGATGGTGATTAATTTTTATGCCAGAACATGGGACAAGGTGATAAGAGCAGGATGGGGGCTAAGGGTTACTGGGCCCTYTCAGAAGGGGTATTTCAGCTGTGCATGCAAGGGGAGAAGGAAAGCACTAGCCAGAATGCAAATGTGATCAAGGTTAGTTCACTATTTATTCTGAGCCAGGTGCTAAGCACTTAACAGTAGTAAGACAAAAATCCACACTGTAATCAATTTTTATTTCTGATTGGTGCTGAGGACAAACAATAAAACTAGAAAAATATGTGTTAGTATGTTGGAGGATGATACTTGCTATGGAGAAATGTCAAGCAAGGCAAGCATGATGGGGTTTGGTTAGGAAAAGGCCCTGGGAAGAAGGTGGCATGTTTTTGCACTGATCAGACTCCAGCCTTCCTCATCCTGCATTCTGAGTACTTTGTATTTTTATGCCAAGTATAGGCAGGGTCCAGATGGAGGGGCTAACTTCTGCATCCCCTTGGCAGCCCATGCAGGGAACCCTGGCCTCTGCTCCCAGGAGCCCTGGAACACTTGGCTGYCCTCTCTGCCCTAAGGCCTTCCCACTGCAGCGCATGCTGACACGACACCTCAAGTGCCATAGTCCAGCTCGCCGTCATGTGTGCCGCTGCTGTGGCAAAGGCTTTCACGATGCCTTCGATCTCAAGCGCCACATGAGGACTCACACTGGTGAGTAGTGGCAAGGACTGTGAGGGGCTTCTGGGCCAGGTGGGATGGTGATGGAATGAAGGCAGATGCCCTGGATGTGGAATTCCTAGTATCTATGCACATAGGGCAGGGACACAGAGGCCTGAGACTTGATGCACCTCAGACCCCAGCAAGTGGTATAAGGTGATGYCATGGTAGTGGAGACAAGATGGATGCTGGCTACAGAACTCAGGTCCCAAATCGAAGGGTGCAAAGGAACATCTCCCACCATCTTCCCCAGGGGAAGGAATTTTCTAGTGAGGGACAGTGGTCACAGGGGTTTGGCCCATGTTTGTACTGGGTGGTAGGTAGCAAATGGGTCATAAATAGAAGTTTGATGAATTTGGGAAAGGGGCAGGAAATGCTCAATTTTGGAGAGGAAGGTGGCAAACCTTTAGTCAGAAGGCCATTTCCCTGCCCRACTCTGCACCCCTTCTTCACAGGAATCCGGCCATTCCGTTGTGGAGCTTGTGGTAAAGCATTTACCCAGCGATGCTCTCTGGAAGCACACCTTGCCAAAGTGCACGGGCAGCCGGCCAGCTATGCTTACCGTGAGCGCAGGGAGAAGCTGCACGTGTGTGAGGACTGTGGCTTCACCAGTTCACGGCCCGATGCCTATGCACAGCACCGCACCCTGCATGGGGCCACCTGAGACTGTACCAGCATCCTACCCATGAAGCAAATAAACACAGGAAACAAACAAACAAATAGAACCTGGCATTTATTAGGAGAAAGAGAGAGGGGTCACTCTGTCCAGCGGTGGCCACAGTGTGGGGCAGTACATACATAATACAGGCGCATGGCATCCTGGTAGAAAAGGTAATTGGTTAGAAGGGTCTGGAGCCTCCAGAGCACAGCATAGGACCCTCCACCCAGCAGGGCCTCATCCCAAAAGAACAGCCAAGGAAACTTTCCCAATGTTAATGATCCAATCCAGGATTCAGGGAAGGGCAGGATCACCCCAATATTTATATCTCCACCCACAGGGAAAGACCAGGCCCCAGGTTCCCAGGAAACTCCCCCCCCCCGCAACTCACTTCAGCCCGGGCACTATGTGACTGGAAGAACACCGCCTCCTTGTGGCCGCACCTGAAGGAAAGGCCCAGTCACCCAGTTTAATGCACCTTTCCCACCTCTCTCCCCCACCCAGTAGGACAAGCCATGCTCCCGCCCCTTTGCTAGCTGCGAACTCACTTCTGGCATGGATGGTCCTCGGTCCGTGGTAACGTGGGGTCCTGGGACACATCAGCAATGATCTGGGTCAGTTCGCTGCAGGAATGGGGAGGTGAATAAATAAGCTCAGTCCCGGACTCCCAAGACAACAMCCTTGCCCCCAATCCCTGATCACGACACTCACTCCACTTCGTGCGTGATTTTGTTGACGTAGATACAGCTGTTATCGGCTTCCTGCTGATAATCACAATTCCGGCACTGTGAAAGGGCGAGTGTGGCGGGTCACCAGAGACTAAGGGTCACCAATAGGAATGGGAGGGCAGGGAGATTCCCGGAGGGGATGACTACGGGGCCGGATGGACAAGAAAGTGACAGGAGGTGAGGCCAATACATTCGGGAGCGAATAGGAAGTGTGTGTCATACAGAGTAGCACGCTGCCACGAGGGGATCCAGTGGGGCGGCTGGAGGCCACGGGGAGGCCTGCGAGCTCGCACTCACCGCATAAAGCAGAATGCGGTTCTCCTTGTCTTCCTTGGGGTACAACATGTTGTTACTGTAGGGAGGAGGAAGTCAGAGGTCAGCCCTTGAGCAAGTCCTTGCTCCCCTTCCGCACCTGCTTCCCTTCTCACCATTCCTGGCAGAATCGAATGCCCACGAAGCCCGGTTCGTAGGTCCCGTCTGGTTCCATAGCGACGAACTGCCTGTCAAGCCTTCCGCACTTGCTCCGCAGCGCTACAGGTCGCGGGAAGGGTCAGGCCAAGCAGCAGCGCCAAAGAGGGCCGGAGCCGCGCACGTGTATAAGCTGACGGTAGCCCTGTGCTCGGCTCTCTCCACGCTTAGGTTTGGCTGACTGCTTCCCTTGATTTAATTTTTTAAAAATATTCTCTGGTAATTGCTTCCAATTTCGGGACTTCGCCTCCCCATTTTACAGAATGGGATGGATATAGTGCAAAATCCGGGAATATGATGCACAAAGTGACCCCCTAGGTGCTGGACATAAATAGAAGAAGCCATTACTCTCTGTTTGGATCCACGCCAGTGCACACGCGCCACGCTTACCCTTCGCGGACCCGGATAACTCCTGCCAGTTCTTCCTCCCAGCTTCAGCTTCGGCCCGACCCGGCCGTTTCCGGTGTGGCTATTGGAAGAATTGTGAACTATAAAAGGCCTCTCGGGATTGGCTGGGTCTAAGAAGAGGGCGAGTCCTTTTCCCGGCAGTGGAGAAGGGACGGCGGCGATTGGTGGATCCTAAAAGTGAGAGCGCGCGGATTGGTCTGGTCCAGGAGTGGGGGCGGGGCTGGTATCCCAGAAGCAGCGGCGGCGGAGCCGGTGTGAGACGGCTGTATCGGGCTGCAGGCCACTGCAAGGCGCGGCGAAATGGAGGTGGCGGGAATATCGGCGCCCACAGTGACCATTTTCATTAGCAGCTCCCTCAACAGTTTCCGCTCTGAGAAGCGGTACAGTCGGAGTCTCACCATCGCTGAGTTTAAGGTGTGACTGGGGGGCGGGGTCTAGAGGGGTGGGGCAAAAAATGCGGGGTTTCCCGAAGGTGGGGAGGGGCCTGAATGTAGGGGGCGGGGCCTGGAGACCTGGCCTACGCAGATGGGGCCAGAGAGAATCTGAGATTGCAGAGAGTAGGGGCGAGTCCAGAGAAAAACCCTGTGCTCCAGAAGGCAGGAGCTAGAGTAGAAGAGGTGGGGCCGGGAAGGCCCCTCAGAACCTCCTAGGCCCTGGATGGTCTTTTAGAGAAGCAGGGATAGGGTGATGGTTGCTAATAATAGGCGGAGCCTCAGGGCAGATGATGGGGTCACTGACACCCTTTCTCCTCATCCCCGCAGTGTAAACTGGAGCTGGTGGTGGGCAGCCCTGCTTCCTGCATGGAACTGGAGCTGTATGGAGTTGATGACAAATTCTACAGCAAGTTGGATCAGGAGGATGCATTGCTGGGCTCCTATCCTGTAGATGACGGCTGCCGCATCCATGTGAGGCCACCCAGCTGGGATCTCATACCTCATTCATTCATTTACTCAACAAATATTTGCTGTGCTTGCCCTGTGTAATAACCCATATAAGCCCTGCCCTCATGGCATCCCCAGTCCAGCACAGATAGACACCAATAGATAGTGACAACCCAGAGTAGTCTGTGCTAGGATAGTAAAAGCTTAGGGAACTGGGGGAACCCAGAAGTGTTACTTGACTCCACCTGGAGGTTTCAGAAAGAGCTTTCTGGAAGAAGGGACATTTGAGCTGAGACCTAAAGGATGAGCAAAGAGGTAGAAGGGGCATGCCCAAGTAGATGGAAAAAAGTGTACAGAGTTCTAGAGCAGGAGGTGAGCCTCTGTGAGCAATGAGGCTAGACAGGTTGAGAGAAGCTAGAATGCAGAGGACCTCTTTGTGCCTACATTGTTCTTTCTCTGCTTAGCATTCCCCTCTCCCACCTCAGTCTTTACCTGGCACATTGTTCCTTAGACATCCCAGGTAAACTCAACTTTAGGGCCTTTGCATGTGCTGTATTATATTTATTATATTTTCTTCATGAATAATTCTCTATATGTCCACATGGCCTCCCCCTTTCTTCTTATGCTTACTTAAAATGTCATCTTTTGCTGGGCAAAGTGGCATGGTTGCTGAAGCAGGAGGATCACAAATTTGAAGACAGCCTCAGCAATTTAGTGAGGCCCCTAAGCAACTTAGTGAGGCCCTGTCTCAAAATTAAAAAATAAAAAGGGGCTGGGGGTTAGCTCAGTGGTAAAGTGCCCCTGGGTTCAATCCCCAGTACCAAAAAAAAAAAAAAAAAGTCACATTTCAAGTGACACCTTCATGTGCCTAAATATAAAATTATAATTTCATCCCTACCCCCTTTTTGTTCTGTTTTTTAGATTTTTTAATTTTTTTTTATTTTAACACAGGGGCTTACTRTCTGGCTTTGAACTTGGAATCCTCCTCCCTCAGCCTCCCAAGTTTGCTTGGATTACAGATATATTGTCATTGCATCTGAGTATATTTTAAATTTTTGCTCATAGCTCTTATCACTCTCTGACATACTCTGGATTTTTCTCATTGGTCTGGTTTATTTTGTGTCTCCCTGATTTCAGTGTYCAGGAGAGTGGAAATTTTCATCACTCTGTTTCACTGCTGTGTCCTCAGCATCTGGAACAATGCCTGGCACAGAGGATACTCAGTGAATCACTGTTGGATGATGAGTTGACTCTACAAAATAAGACCAAGAGGTCAAGTGCAGGATGCATACCTATATCCCAGAAACTTGGTAGGCTGAGGCAGGAGGATTGCAAGTTCAAGGCCAACCTCAGAAACTTAGCAAGACCCTTGGAAACTTAGTAAGGCCCTCCCCCAAAATAAAAAATAAGAACTGGTAAAGCAGGAGTGCTTTACCAGTACACCCCCCAAAAAAAAGAAAAAAAAAAAGACTGAGAAGATGGTATAATTATCCTCATTTTGCAGAGGACAAAACTCAACTTCAGGATGAAATATACTTTCTTAAGCATGAAATATTGATAGAATTTTTCATTTTGTCTGCATGACTCTAGAAGTTCATGTGCCCAGAGTACTGGTTCTTTATTTTCTGTCCTTTGTTATTCAATAATTGTTCATTAAACATTTATATTGTGCCAGGAGTATAGCTGTGAGTCATATCTGAGGAGGTCCCTGTTTTAGCCGTGTCTAGTGTGTGAGGTAGATGTTAGCCAAATGATCACAGGAGCAAATATGAAAGGTAAGTTTTAACTGAGGGCCTTGCAGGAGATCATGGAGCTGGGAGACCCTATACTGGGGTATGTGACCTATCAGTGAGGTCTGGGAGGATTCCTGGAGTGAGTGCTGTTTGATCAGAGACCTACAGAAAAGGGAGAGTTAACCAAAAAGGGGAAAAGGTGCTCTGGCAGGAGGACATAGCACATGCAAACACCCTGAGGTGGGAGGGAGCACTGTGGGTGCCGGACTGTGGGTGAAGAAAGTGGGAACTGGGAAGGAGTCAGCCTAAGGGCCCTGCTCTGACTCAGGTTTTCACGAGCTCCCTTGGGCTGCAGGTGAGGAACAGACTGGGGGACAGGAGGAGCAGGGACACCAGGAGGGGGATACTRTAAGAGTCCAGATGAAGTGATGGGCAGGACTAGCAGTTGTGAGTCAGGACTCTGCTGGGCCCACAGAACTGAGACTTGGGGCGGTCCGGCAGCTACAGCCAAGGGATGCAAGTGGGGTCAGTCATGGGTAGCAGCACCCTCAATCACGAGGGCTTCATACCCATGTGGTACATCCCAGGCTATTCAAGGACAGTGTCCCAGGGTTGGAACCTCTGGGAATTTTGGTTTTTTCCTAAAATTCCTTTTCTGTTGGTAAATATCAGCTACATGCACTGCTTAAAATGACAGTTTTTCAAACTTTAAAAAAATTCATGACCTAGGGAATAGAAATTCTTAGCGATCCTAGACTCGGAGGTAAGGACCATTTTTATTTTGCCGTGTTAGCCTAGTGGTTCAGACTAAACACTTTAGGATTGTCCTTGATCCCTCTCTTTCCCCACTCTTTTCCCCACTCCCAATCTGTCACAAACCCTGTTGGCTYCACCTACAAAATCATCCCTAATCTAAATTCTTCCCCTATTCCCATTGCACCCACCCTGGTCCAGCCTTCACCCCTCCCTCCTGGACATCCCAACCCCTCCCCTGGCCTCATTGCTCCCATCCCTACCCCAACAGTCTGCAGCAGAGAGAGCCTATGAACCCCTGATCCATATGAGAGCCATCTTTGCACCACAATGCAGGTAAAACCCAAAGTCTACAGTGATCTGTTATCTTTCCCATTCTCCCACTAGCTCCCTTCACCAGACCCACAACAACTTCTCCTCCTCCAGAAGGTCAAGGATGTATCTGCTTCTGGTTTTCACACCTGCTGTTCCTTCTCATCCTTCAGGCTTTGGCTCAGACATCCCCTCCTTTTGAAAGCCTGCCCTGGCCACCTTCCCATGCTCCTTATCTTCTTTGTTGTATTTTTGTCTTTCGCCCTGGCCATCAAGTAGTGTTTAGTCCATGTCTCTATTTGTTTGTTTACGGCTGGGTCCCCCAGCACAGCAGAATAAGCACTGCCTGCGGGCATGGGTTGTCTCTTTTTATACCATGTTCGCAGTGCCCAGCTCAGGACCTCCTGGGTACCTTTGGAGGAGCTCCATAAGCAATGAGTGGGTGAACATTTGGAATAGCTCAAGAAGAGGTGTTCTGGAGATGGGGGCCATCCTGCGAGGGTCCCAGAGTCCCAGAGAGGATAGATGTACTGCCTAGAGGGTTATGAGCCGGGTCTGATCTCTGCCAGTTAGATTCATTGACTTCAGGRCTATCAGTGATATGGGTGCTAGTGTGTAGGGTACATCTCGGGGCAGATCCAGCCTCCAGGGTTTTGGATGGCGAGGAGAAAGGAGAGATGGCCAGTGTAGATATCTACTCTTGTCCCTTCTGCTGGGCTCAGGAGAGGGGAGATAGCTGGAATAAAGGTGAAGGTGTCTTTTTCAAATCAGGAGAGGCTTGAGTGTGTTGAGTGCTCTAGCATGCAGCTGTACCCTAGCATCCCAGGCCTTCCTGGCTAGACTGATTCCTGCTGACCTTCCTCTCCTCACCACAGGTCATTGACCACAGTGGTGCCCGCCTTGGAGAGTATGAGGACGTGTCCAAAGTGGAAAAATTTGAGCTCTCTCAAGAAGCCTATGACCAGAGGCAAGGTACAGAACACATGGGATGGGATGGATGAGGGTGTGTGGTAAGAAGCCAGGTAGGACTGAGAGGACCATCACAGGGAGGTCAGAAATCAGGCAGAGGGCTTGGGAAGATGGAGGAAGGGGTGAGGTTCATTGTGGGTACATATGAGGGCATGGGACTGTGGGTACATGATTAAGGTGAACAGGGCATGGGGTAGGAATGGGGACTCCTAAGTATGTGAGGGGAAGCAAATGAGGGCCTAGGAAGATGAAGGGGGCCTTTGGGGAATGCAGGAGAATGGTTTGTGGGGAGTATTCAGGGCCAGATGGAGGCATGGGGTGGGGCAGATGGGGTATAAGGACAGAATCTAGTGGGCTGTGGAGAGGACAGAATGGCAGTCAGTTCAGGCTTCTGCTGATGGGTCAGAATGTGTGGTGGGAAGGAAGG